AATATAAGCAGTCATCACTGCACTCAACAACTAGAGCATTCTCCTGGCTAATCTCCCTTTCTGCGCAATCCATTTCTGAAAAATATATCCTACATGTAACAGCCAGTATCCTCTGCTCCAGTGTTTACATTGTCCCTTACCTCTTCAGGAACTTTTTTGGGCTTATATCCTATCCTATAAAATCTATTCTGTGTTTCACAGAGTATAATTTGAGTCAGCATTTATTGTTTGTGCTTATTATATAGATTTTTCCCTTTTATTTTTGATGGGTTGGCTAATAGCCATAATTCTCATCAGTGCTGGCTAAAGAACAAAACTTTTTTAAAAAATAAGAATTCCCAAAGTAGCTCTCTATGTTTCATATTTGCTTGGATTACTAGCCTATTTTAAAATATGTAATTGAATACAACTAAACCAAACAAACATCTCAGGAAACAAATTTATATCCTAAAACGAAAGGTAATGAATTACACATTTTATATATCACTGAGGACTGGTACCTCTTAATTTAATAAACTTTGAAGTTATTTGAAAATAAATTAAGATTTCTATGATTCAGTGAAAATAAGTCATTAGTGGTATTGCCCTAATGATCTCTTTTATGTAGTTACAAATTGACAAGTTAATATTTTTATTTACATAACAATCTCTGAGTTTATATTTAGTACGATCAATTCCTCAGAGCCGCATTAATACTGAAAGAATAGGTAACATCAAATTTTCATAGCATGGAGTATTTTAGAAATCTTTGAGAAAGAGCTGTTAAAAATATTTAAAAAGTCAGTTGCAAACAGTAATAAGCACTTCTATTTGAGTTCCCTACTTGTTCCAGACCTTTAATATATATTATCTTTTTTAATCTTCAAAATAACCTTTTACTATAGATACTCTTGTACCCATTAGATATCCTTGAGTTGCTAGTATAGATGTATAAAAGAAATTCTTGAGATTTCATTAGTTCACTTAATTGAAAAATCTAGAGGGAGATCACACTTCAGGCAGTATATGATCCAGTGGCTCAAACATGTCCCCAAAGGCTTAGTCCCTTTCCTTCACTCTTTTCTGCTTTCCTTAAAAGCATCTTATGGTGCCTTAATCCTAAGGCTGCCAGTCCTTGCTGGTACTATATGCTGTCTTGTTAACTTCTGGTTACACTTCTTTTCTAGTACTTCTCTCAAAAACAGGTTTCTTTATTTAATTTTAATTTTAATTTTTATTACCCTTTAAGCATTTCCTTACATCTTAGTGGCCTGAATTAAGCCATATGCCTATTCCTGAACCAGTCACTTGGGCAGGAGAATGGACTTCATTGATTGAGTGAATCAATCTGGGACCATCCTTGTTGTTGAGGGTGAGGTTAATACCTTCCAAAATGGGAGAGGGGCAGTCCCCTAAAGGAATTGGGCTGAATGAGGGAAAATAGATAATTGTGAAACCAACAATAAGTCCCTACTACAACTCTTCCTCATTTTTATGGAAAGTAACTTCAACAACAACAGTAATTAACAGTACTGGTATTTATTGTGTGTACTACATGCTAGGCACATGCTTAGTACTTTAGATACAGTTTAGTCTTCAAATCCATCTTGAGAAATAAATAGTATTAAATCACTGTTTTATAGAAGTTTAGAAAAGTTGAACAAACTATCCAAGGCCACATGGTTAATTAGACCTAGGTCAGTGTGACTTCAGTGTCTGTGTTCTTTTCACAATGTCATGCTGTCTCCCTAGTAAACCAAAAGTTGGCTATTAAAAGCATATTAAGTCTTGTCTTAGAAATTTGTCATTGTTGTAGAATTCTAGGAAATAATTCATCCTACCTTGGTTTAGTGTGCAGTATATTCATATGGATATAAGCCTTATTTAGACAGAATTGTGAAAGGGGAGTTACTTATCTTGTTTTTCCCACTTTGAGCACCAACATCTTTATGGCACTGGTCAGGTAGGATGCTCTATGCCGTATGCATCCACACGTACACATACACACACATACACATACGAGGGATCTTCAAAAAGTTCATGAACAGATTCGTTTTATCTTTTCACTCCATTTTTCCCACAAACTTTTTGAAGTACCCTCATATATATCTAGGTGCTGCATGTGTATGAGTATTGTATACATCACAAATTCTAACAGAGGCTTTTAACTTGCTACTTAATGAAAATGACAAAAGAATGGATTGAAAAGGATGGGCTCTGCCCTCTAAAGTAACCTAAGCGTGAACGCTGAAGACTACTATGTCATCTGATATCAAGTTTCCAGTCATTCTTCACTTAATGGTGATAATCCAGTATTATACCTAAGGGAATATTTTTGGCACAGTCTGAATTATTTTTTGGTTATCCTAACTTTAGTCCCATACTCTGCCCCCTGGGGACTTTACTTCTTGCTTCAAGATTCTTAGTGCTTGCACTTGCCCAAGGCTCAGGAGTTCAGTACTGAATTTTAATTATTTAATTTTTACTGAAGGCCAACTTCCTTCTAGTTTTCTGCAAGAAGCTGACTAGGCCTGTGGAATGATGCAGCTCTGCTCTTTTATTTACAGTCACTTTATCTGTGGCTTGAATAACTATAAATTGGAAATAAACTTAATTTGCTTTTCTACATTTAATGACTTGAAGTAAGAAATTGCTCTAAGGCAGAAATATTGTTGGATTAAATACAGGACAATCAGAAATCTCGTCTGTACCTTTGGCTGTGTCACAGTATTTGGGAATACCTATATTTCCAAACAGGAAGCTCTACCTTCCTAGTACTTTACCTTTATTGACTTGATATCACTTTTCTCTCAATTTTTAATGCTATTTAGGTGTTGTCTTTTCTCATTTATTAATATATTATGTATTGATATTAAAATATTTAATACTTTGTTAAATAAATATTAATATTTGTTAATCAATAAATATTGAACAACAGAGGTATAATTCTCTTCACAGGGTTTATAGTCTGGGTTGGCAGGTGGAGAGTATAAAGAATATTACACGAAGAAGTAAATTTAAAAAGGGCAGGAGGCAAGTAAAAAAGTGCTGAATATGAACTAACTTTAGAAAGAAATAATATCAGGAGTCCACAGAAGAACACTGGGGTTATGTCATATGCTGCTTTTAAATCAAATTGTAGGACAGATCTTTTCATTTGAAAGTTATTTCATAGCTAAAATAGAATGCTATGTGGTTTCAAGACCAGAAGGGTACACATTTTCTAAAACAGGCCGACATATATCTAGCAAAAGCAGTAATATGTGAATATTGGTCCAAGTAGTATCTTGAACTAAATATTGATTTCCAGTCCATTTTAATGGACATTTACAGTACCTATCAAAGTTGAAAAATTAGTAGTTAATTTTACTGTTTACTGTTGAAATTATGTGTTTCGTTTAGATTTTTAAGTAAAGCTTGACAGAAACTTGTAGTAATCATTCTAGTAATTTAATACATTTGGTATTCTCTTTAAAAGAACAGAAAAAAGTAAATTGCCTTATATCATTAAATTTATTTTTAAACCATATATGTTATTTGATTTTGTAAATAGCCTACCTAACTTGGTAAAACACTTGATTTGTAAATAAGGGAAGAGGTTAGAAAAAGAGAACATTTTAAGAAGAGTTAGGCTGGTGTTTATTTTCTAGGTACTCTCGTTAAGGAAAAAGCCATTAAGTCTTCATCTCTGGAGCTTTTCCATTCAAGGAGGCCTAGATCCCTGGTAAAGAGGGTAAAAAAAGTTCAGGAAATAGCAATTAAAATGTTAATCTCTCTTACAGAATCCTGGCTTAACATCTGGGAGCCTGATAGAGAAAGTAGGAATGATTGTTTTTAGAAAACATGGATTGTAATATACTTTTACTTTTGTTATAGTGCAATAAATATAAACTAACCAACTAAAAAAAAAGCCATAGGTTTTACTGCTGTATTAGGAATGAATGCAGTTTGAGGCTGCACTATTCAGTGTAGTCCTCACTGTCTATATCTGGCTCTTGAGCTCTTGAAATGTGGCTAGTGCTTCTAAAAAAAAAAAAAACTGAATTTGAAATTTCATTTAATTTTAATTGATTTACATTTGAAAATTGATATTTGATTCAGTTATTGGAAAATTGGAAGCATATTTAGAACAACTTGGGTATGTAGATCTACTTTTTCAACTATAAATTTCATGAAGTCTGAATACAGATTATTTCAGATGAAAATTTACATCTAAATTGGGATGTGCCATAAATGTAAAATAAATATATTTCAAAAACTTAATATGATAACGAATGTAAAATATCTCAACTATACTTTCTATATTGGTAAAATAATATTCTGGATGTATTGGCCTCAAGAAAATGTGTTATTAAAATGTTTCACCTTTTTTTAAACTTTTTAAGATGTGGTCACCAGTAAATTTAAAATTACTTTTTGGCTCACATTACATTTGTCTTGGACAGTGATGGTTTAAGAAGTTTTTCTAGGACATCACTGGAACCCATTTAATACACAAAATTGCAGTCTGGGTCAGCAACTAAATCTCATCAGAATCATAACTTTTTTTTTCTCTCTGTCTGGCACTACTATCAGTCATGGTGATGTTAATAGTCTTAATTTTTAAAGCAATCACTGAATCTAATATCTAATTGAACATCATTTACTTTTTTTGTTTAACTCAATCTAATTATAGTGTTTTATTTGGTATTAGAGAATATCAAATGTTTTAGAAAATTTTACTGAAGCAAATTGGTGAAAAATCGTAACAAAGAAAGAAGTATGACTTTAATTGAATATTATTATACCATAGGTAATATACTGTGTGAAGCACTTAAAGTATTTAAACTGTACCTAGAAAAGTTTGATGTCTGCTTTCTAATAAGATGTGTTCTTTTAATGTTTTCTTTCATTCTTACGTCAAGTTGGATAAAAAGCTTGGTCAAATGTGTAATGCTTTTTGTTCTGTCAGATATCCCTAATAGGTAATAAATGTCTTTCATTATAATTTTGTTTCACTGTTCATCTATCAATTCCTCTAGGAGGTGATTTCCTCTCCTTTCTGAGAAAGAAGAAGGATGAACTAAAACCCAAACAGTTAGTGAAATTTTCGTTAGATGCTGCTTCCGGTATGTTATATCTCGAGAGTAAAAACTGTATACACAGGTAAGGAGAACATTTTTGAAACATTTTCTAGTTTTATTAATAGAACTCTACTAAGTGATATATTTGCTCCAATACAACAGTAAATTTCTTTCACAAAAGTTACATATCTTCTTGTTGGTTTTTATATGTTGTGTGAAAACATTCTTTGCTAGTTGTATAGAGTTTACAGGAACATTTCTTTTCCCTCTTGATGTATGTACCTAATTAAACAGTGGCTTACCTACTAATTAGAATTTGTTTGTTATAATCATCAATAATAGTGACATTGAATGTACCACAATTTAGTAATACAAGAAACTACAGTCTTACAATGAAATAAGATTGTTATGTGTTGCATATTCTCATTTTCTAAAGAAATTATGTATAAAATCATGGAAAAACATACAAATAAAATAACAATTTGTGACAGTGAATATGGCCAAGGGTAAAAGATTTAACATACTAGTTATTTCAAAGGAGATTTTAGAAAACTTCTCTGATTATATGTAGTGACCTAATATTAATGCTTTATATTTTGTGGTTTTAGTTGCTTTTAGCTGAATGTGTTCTTTACTGCTAATAGTCAGTACAACTTAAGATCTGTTGCAGAATTCCTGTCAGATCCTAAATATGGCTAAGCGTATATAAGCAAAATGAAATGGAGAACTGATGCAGTTTTTATTCACCGGATATAATGCATAATACGGTTTAACATGGATCAGCGTTCATTGTCAGATTGAGCTGTTGTAGACTTTATCCAGGCTGGTTTCATTATTGAAGTATGCTTTTCTCTGAGGTGTCTCATTGTGCAGCCTTTGACTTATCATTCTGGTGTGGTTGTATAATGTATAATTACAGCAAAACAAAGTTACCTTCACCTTAACTACACATTTATTTTATCTCAATGGATATTTTTGACTTAATTTACCCCCAAAATTTTGCCTTGTATTCAGTTTTATTCTGGAACTAAAATTATGACCTATGTTTCAAATACAGTTCAGTAAGTGCGTGTATTTTAAAATAATTTCAGTGGGGATACTATTTTTCTGGAAAATAAGACAACCGAAACTAAGCCATTGTCATTGCATTTGTTTTGCTTTCTATGAATATAGATCTAATTACATTATAAGAGTTTTTTTAGAGTTGATTTTGAACAAAAATTACATTATAATTAATTTCATTAGTGGTAAACACTTTTTGTTAAAAGTAACTGTAAAGGGTTTTGCCCTTTATTTACAGAAAATCTGTTAAGGTGTTTAGATGCTTTGGGTATCAGATTCTCCATCAGGTTCTCTATTGTAGTTATTTATTTTGTCTCAGGTGTTTTTCAAACTATTAGATCATCTATGGATTTAAAGCATAATAAATGCACATTATTGAAACTGTTTTATAAAAGTGTCAATTACCAGTAATATTCTTTAACTTCCAGTGCATTGCAGTTGAGGTAACCATTGTTTGAATTTCTTGCTACTTTTGTAGTGATTGCTTTCCTTGCAAATGGATGACTGTGTCTTCTTAAGTGTCTGTATCATCAGAATTGAAACCATTCTAAACTGTAGATGCCAGTTAGCTTTTTAAAATTTATCCCTCTCTCCAAATCATAATATTATCTACTGTAATGTTATTTTCCCATTTTGCTTTTTAAGAATTTGTATGTATCCCCAAAGTTTTGAAAGCCAGTGCTTGCTTGACTTAGCAGGGAACCTGCTAAGAAGGTTTTCCAATTGAACATCTTGAACAGTGTCACTGAGTACAGGTTTGACAAATAGGTTTCAGCGTTAGTGCCAACTTTCAGTGATTGGTAGTGGCTCTCTGTGGTATGTGTTGAGAAAGATTCCAGGATCAGCCACAAGGAGTCCAATGATCAATTAGTCATGTCCACCACAGTACTGGCAAGCATTAATACATAAGCCCCAAATTTGTCATACTTGTTACACAATATCTTCTTTTTGTATTTGTTCTCATATTTTTCTCACTTTTTAAAATGTTCGGTATGATTTTTTCTTTGCTAGTCATAATATAGCAACAGTATAATATTTTTCTATAATCACTTCCATTGAATTCTTCTAAACTATCTACTGTCTTATTTCCCATATTAATCATGAGTACTAGATGAATTTTATATCTCCAGCCAGTGGTTTTTTTCTTCCTCTTCAAACTTTTATAAGTGCTCTTTTGGATGAATTCAGAATTTTTCTTTTTTTCTTTTCATTTTAGTACCTCACCAATACATGGCATTTCTATTGAGAAAATTAATCATTCTTTGTGTTGAATTTTTTTTATAGTAGAGATTGTGCTGTAGCAACCTGTTCCTATGAGCTGGCCTGTGGAACTATTTCTGTGGGAACAGTAGTAATTGCAATGAAATTTTTCTTGATTTATAGTTAGAAGATACTTTCGAGACACATTATATGTTTATTCTCCTAAGAAATTTCAAAGAAAAAATATCTAGTAATTATTATAATGAAAAGTTTTTTTCCTCATTGGAAAAATTTCTAATGAGGTATTTCAAAAATTAATTAAAATAATGTAAAGCATGATTGAAAGTTTCTTTTAGTTTTTCAGGTAATGAGCAAAGGCACTAAGTCCTATTTTTGATATTCAAAAATACTATTAAGATAAATGCGTGTCTATGAAGTACAAAACCTTAAGTCCAATAAGTCCAAGCAAAATGTTTAAATATGCTTTAAATTTTATATAAACTAGTAAATTTTATCCTGTTCACTAGTTAGAGGTCACTAGAACTCAGAACATATTTGAAAATATTTCTAATTTTCTGTCCCCAAAATAGTGCCTTTAACTTTTGAGGGGCATATTTTCATTTAGCTTTGTTTTGTTGTTTTGATTACTATGAGAAGAGCAGAACAATGATTCATTATAGAAAAACAAGTATGACAGTTATGAAATGGAAATAAGGAATTGCATTGAGAAATGACCTGCATATAGAATATGTTCTTGTAATTTCCATTTATCTCAGAGGAGAGTTCTTTTGATGCTCTAAGTTTCTAATTGAAACTGTTTCTTTCTGCATACAGATTGAAAATTGGTGGATATTTTGCTTTTTGGTTTAGTTTAAATCAACTGCATTTTTGTTGTAATTATTATATAGGCCAATGTGAAATTTTCTTTTCTACTTGTACTTTATACAGTATGACTACTTTAAATACACTGATAAACTTTGAGAGGTGTGTGTATTTACTTACAGTGGTTTGTTGTTAGATTGTTAAGTGTCACTCTCTGAAGAATATTAAACCTGATTAATCTTGGATTGAAGGTTGATAATATGCTAGATTTAAGTGGTAATGGCATTTATGGTTTTATTCTTGATGAATTCTACTGCAAGATTTATTTCTATTTGGGTTTATTTCTAAAAGTTGGTTTTGTGCCGTTGTTCTTTGTTTGGTATCTATGGAAAGTAAAAAGAGGATAAACTCTTTATTGTCATGTATTGGAGTTAGAGACCATCATCTATGGAGAGTTTGGGAAATATTTCTTAATTTCATGATATTCTGTGTCATTATCAATATCAGAAAAGGTGTATGTTGGAGGGATGAGATAGAATATAATTTCTTTTTCTAATTTTACATCTTGTACTGATTCCTCTTCATGTTTGATTGCTCTACCACAATGATGTTTTTGTTATGGAATAGGTTAACAACTCTACAAATTAAAGTATATTAGATCATGCTTATTTTATTATTCAGTAAGGGTTTTGCTTATCCATTGAGAACAATGGTATTTCTGATACTTCATAAATGTGGACAATTGCCTGCTCTGTGCCAGGAGGATACCAAGATGAAAATCCTGGTCCCTGCCCTCAGATGGATGTAACAAAAAATAATAATAATGCAAAGAGATCATCAATTTTGTGATAATGTATACAAAATTTTTGGGGAGTAATATCAAGAGTGTCTGATGTGACTTGTCAAAATGGGGACTGTGGTGGGAATAATCAAGAAAAGCTTTGCAGAGAATAGAGTGTGAGTGAGATTTGATGGATGAGTGTGTCATTGAACAGAAGGGGAGAAAATATTCCAGCTGAAAAAAAGTTGAAAGCAAAGTTACAATGAAGAGAGTATGACTCTTAATCATGGAACTTCAGGCAGTTCATTATTATCAGAATGAGAAACCCAAAGGAGATGGGGCTGAGCTAGGTTAACAGGGTCATCCTCACTAAGATTCCTGTATGAGTATATCATTTAATTTGGCTAAGCTGTGGGAATATATATTGAGATTATTTTAAGAAAATTGAAATGCTATGGTTTTTAACTAGAAATAAAAAGTAATTTGAACAAAATTCACAAAACATGTATAATCTTGTGAAAATGTGTGGGTATGGGAACAATTTTGTTTTTAAGTTTCATTGGAAAAATTAATTTAGGAAAGCTAAGATTGTCCAGAAAGGAATAATATTGCATTTCACCTGTACGTTGTAGAAGGAGATTGCTTTACCCACTGATCTCTACCCACATGCTTAGGCATGTGTACTTTTTAAGATAAATGTAAGATGCTGCTTCTGACTTGTCTTTGGATTTTTGAGACTTATTTATGAAGCAAAGATTTGGTATGATATTGATTATTTACATTTTTCCCAATGATATTTGAGGATTGTTCTCTGTTTTTTTAACTGCAGCTGATTATCAAGCATCTAAGCTCTTCCTAAGCTTTGAATGTACTGAAAAGTATTTTGTGCTTATTATATCTTTATCATTTAAATGATAGGATAAAGACAAATTAAACAAATATAAAATAAACAAGTTATAAATATAAACAAAATTTTAAAACTTTTTTTTTTGTTTTTGAACCCTTCGTCATTTCTCTCTCTCATGATCTACCATATTCTCAATAGAAGGTACCTTAAGATCACTTTAAGTAACTGAGGCCCAGAGAGAGGTTAAATGAAGGTCACCTAGACAATTAGTGACAAGGCCACTGCTAGGTCATAGATGTGCTGACTCCATTCTGGCACATTCCCTGCCACTTGAATACCGGTGTTTTACACTGTCTCATTCAAATATTAG